GCTGCTTGGCAAGCATTCCTCTTATCGCTCGTTTAAACGAAGGCATTTGATTTTTGTACCGATAGTGCCACAAAATGATTTAAGCGAATGCCTTCAACACGGCCGCACAAAGTTCTACCAAAAAAAAAAACAATCACAAATATGGCTAGTCGCGGGTCCGGGTTTTCCGGTGGTGGTTCCCCCCGCATGTTTCCTAGGCATAAAAACTGGAACAAAAGGAAACAAACTCATTTAAGATATTTTTGAAGTACTTAGGCCACAGATTTGTAACATTGCCAGTTAAATTATTTGGTACAGAGAGAGCGTGAAGTGGAGGGTTGATCTGCAGATCTACTGATTTAAATATAAGTTGTACATATAATTAATATTATTAATATGCATGCGGATATCCATCTGAGCCCTGGAGAAGGAGTATTAGCTTGGATTTTCTCAATCTTGTAACAAGTCGAATAATACATTTTGTTTGCTGCATTTTTTCCCCCTTTCAGTCTTTTGTTCGTCCCAATATTGCGTGCTTGTTGAGCAAAGCTTCCCACAAAACTGGCCACGCCCACACAAAAAACCTATATTTCCACAGAAGGAAGAGCATTTCCGCGCCCAAAGACAATGGCAGCAGACACGTAGAGATGGAGGGAGACACATAGATCTCTCCGTCTGAACCACACACGGCGCCAAATGTAATGTAATAAAGAGGGAGAAATTGTTTTGGCAATTAAAAAACTGCCAGCGAACAAGCAGGAAGATGAGAGGCCTCACGGGCTATGGCAAAAACGAACTGAAAACAACACACACAAAAAAAAAACGTATAATAACGAATGAGCAAAAAATTGCCGCATCATTTGAAATTCATTAGTTGGATGATGGACTGATAGAGGGATGCCGATGGCGATGCCGATGTCGATGTAGAGGCCGAGGCCGAGGCGTGATGGCCCCTGGAATGGCTTCCTTGGCTTGGTTTTGGTATGGTTCGGTTTGGTTTGGTTTGGTTTCTGGCTTCTTTGGAGTGTGCACAGTTATGGCAGGCCACATACATAAATAAATTCACAGCCTCGCGTGCACGACAGTTGCTCGTCAACGGAAAAAGAGATGGCTATTGGATTGCAAAGGAGAATGGAGAGAGAGAATGGGGGAGGAAAAGGAGTTCGGGCATCGTCAATCATGACAGCGAAATGTGTCAACAAACGTCAAACAACAGCAACAGCGACGGCCACAACTCACTCAAACTCAAAGTGAAACCTCCAAACCTCCCATCCCAAAAACCCTGATTACTCCAGGCCGAACAGCGTCCAGCCCGCAACTTCATCAACTGTCACACAGGACATCGTGTCCAGGATCTGCTCTTCACACAACAAAAATGTGAGTGATGATCTGGCAATGATTTGTCACATTTGCCCCCAACACAAAGGATAAGTATAACTGGAGTAGGGAGCGCTCTGTAGCGTGCCACCAGGGGAACATTTAATTGTGAAGGCTTTTCCCCAGATAGATAATTGTGCAATAATGTAGATCAAATACGCATAAAAAACTGTATCCTAATGCTTGGTAATGTCCCTCTCTCTCTCCCTTTGTGAAGGTATCATTCGCTTCACGCCCCTGTGTATACCTAAAAAAACAACAGCATAAAATTACATTTGATGAAATACGGATGACTGAGTGACAGCCCAAACGTCTAGATTTGGGGAATAGTAAGTGGTAGTAGCTGCACCTGATACTTTCGCGCTTGTTCTTATCGCAATGGGAAAACATTTAGTTCGTGTTCCCGTGGGTGTTTCTGCATTGATATTCGTATATCTATTTGCCAGTACCCATGGCCGCACGGCTGAAAAGGCCGAAAAGCAGAAACACAAAATGAAACGAAACGAAACTAATTTTAATGCGTTTCATGCGTGCACGCATTCTGAGCGAATGAAAATGCTAATCGGACAAATTAAATGCCACGCAGAGGTCCCTTCAAGGTCCACTCAACGTCGGGTTGGTAAAGGGGTGATATCTGGTCTATGCGCCCCTAGCACCGACTAGTGCTACAAAACTGCATTCGTGTCAGTATCACCATCACGAAAAGCACTACAGGAAGACAGAGAGGAATGAAAATATAATTAAATATTATTCTATAAGCCACTGAAAGCAGTACAGACTAATTTTTGTATATCCCCATGTCAGTTGATCTTTTAGTTTGATATTCCCTGCATTGTCATTTAATTCTGAGAGCGAATGTTTTAGCTCCCAATGGAGCCATTTGAAGTACAATTTCCAATATAAATCTACTGCTAAACTGGCAAACAATTCGTACACCGACTTGTCTTTCTTTTTGGCGTACTATTTCCTATAGCAACGATCATAGCAAACCATTCGGTGTGGTCTCTTAGCAGTTTTCTTCTGTTGCGTGTGTCCTTAACAATTCCCAATTCTGCCCCCCACCGTTGCGTGTTATAGTTTTTACGCCAATTGCCAATATGGAAGCGAAGTAACGCCAACTATGTAATATGCGGGCAGTGGGGCCTGTGCGGTACATACATATACATATATATATATGGTGCATATGGTGCGTGGTGAGATTAGCTTTTGCATGACCAGCAAACCGTTTTTTCTTGTTGTTTGCCCGTTGCCATTGCTGCCACTGGCACTACTGGCACTGGAACTGCCACTGCGCCACTGCCGTGGTGTGTGAACTATTTTATGTGAATTTGATTGCGAGCGTTTATGGCGGAAAACGCAAAAGAACCGCAAAACAAAGCACAACAGCAAATTAAACGAATGGAAAGGGAATGTGGGCACCAACTGAGGTTTTCTTTTTGGCCGACTGCAGTCCCAAACCTGTTCCTCCACTCCTGTATTAATCATAATTATGCAAATTCGCTCCCTTGGGGGAGGTTTGGGCCAGTCCCCAAACAGCTAGGAGGGGGAGTGTGTGTGTGTGTGTGGGCTGTTGGTTTGTTTGCACAATTTTCCACCTTTTATAGTACAGTTAATTTTCGTGCTCGTTTGGTGGTTTTTGGCTTCTGTAGTTTTCTTTGCCCATTGCGCGTGGGCATTCTCATTTTGACACTAGACTTGCAACATGCATGGAACAGAACAACATATTCATAATAGTTGATCAACAATTGATTCCCAATCTTGTGTGCTCTGGAATGAATACCATAAGTTTTCTACTTATCGATAGATGTGATATCAGCTGCAGAGTCCACGGAACAGCTTCAAATTAAAGTTGACTTCGCCATGCACGTCGTCCGTTTAGTGTTCAAGCTCGATGCTAATCCATTAATATACATTGTTAAATCTAAGTGTAAAAATAATAATTTCAGGGATTTTTTCTATGGGTGTACCTACTGTTTTGATGGTTCCACCAAGTTCCACCGCCGATCTCGTTCTCGCACGGCCCATCCCATCCAATGTCTCGTCAGCTCTGGCCCACTCGTCAGCTCTATCTCGCCAACTTCCGAGGGTATCTGAACTTCGACAGCCTGTAGTTCGCTTTACTGGCTTTCCTTTGAATAATTCCGTCAGCAGTGGCAAGGGAAAGCATCTCACAGAACCGGGGCAATGAGAGAATCGGTGAATATAGTGCAAATAATTCTCTCCCGCTTTCCAAACTCTCCAGCAGTTTGGAAAACATTTCCATTCAATTTATTCAAGTCGTGATTAGCGTCGACTTCGCAGTCGTTTGCTATATTTGTTAGTTTAATTGCTTTTTCAGACGATTGGTGGCGATTAAGAAAGGGGACGCGGGAGGAATGCCAGCCAAGTCCGGCCAACGAATGCGTGAAATGCGTTTGGTGGGGCAGGGCCGGGCAGGCAACGAGTGGAATTTGGGAAAGAAAGACAACATTGCTGAGCAGCATTCAGATTTTTTTGTGGTACTACCTCAAACAGTTAATGGACACATTTCTGATTTGATTTGATTCACAACAGATTTGATCAAAAGATAATGCAACGGAAATTCGGGGGAAATGCTTGTGCTTATTTAATAGGGATGGGATGGTGCAGCCAGTGATGGCAAATTCAGTGGTTTGAGGTTGCCAGATATCTTAAAATTCGACTACTCGATAATAACGAGTATATCCCTAATATGCCTTGAGTATCCCTCATATCTTGCACACTGTTTACACATTCATTAGATTATGATAAATATAATACAGACACAGATTCCAAAAGACATGGATGCGGCATAGCATTAGCATTAAGCGAAAAAAAAAGCGTTTTTAGACCCTACCCCCTAACTGTTTCCTGGCGGTATTGTGATTTTTTATGAAAAACCTAAGCCACAATATCTAAAACAAATAAAAACAAAAAAAAAAAAAACATATTTGGGCTAATTTAAAAATGTATATGGATATAAGAAAATAAGAAACTAAAAATGCTTTGTTTTCAATTCCTGATTGCATTGAATTAGAATTTTGTAAGGAAATTATTTGGTAAACAAAAAACAGCTGACATGTACACCTGCATGGTCACACTCTGCCGCTAGCCAAATATATGACAATTTCGGGAACGAAACATACATATATCTTATCTAGATACTAGGTTTAGTGAAGGTGTGGAAGCAGTGTTTTTGGCGAGTTTGTTTTAGCTATGTACAAATGTATATATAAAACCTATTCAAGCTAAATTTCAGGTTTAAATAAATTTAAATATATTTAAATTTTAATAACGCTGCTTATCCATGAACAAGCAATTCCGTTTTGTTTTTTTGTTAGTCTGAAACGATGGGAAAAAATGGAAAATATTGATACAAAAAATTAGCAAGGACGGGAGAAATTTTAATGGAAAACGGAGAGCCTCTGTTCAAATAGCAAAACGCCAAAGTAAGTGGAAGGCGAGGCCTCCATAATATAAATATTTTAAACCAGCTCCACGATCCAATTCCCTGTGTTCCAAACAAATATTTTCCTCATAAGCTCAAGCCTGTTTTTTATTTATTGTGTTATCGATTCCGATAAACTGTTTCCAACATACGACGGCCGAAGCTGGCAGTCATTTTCAATTGTGCTAGTTTTTAAATAACAAAAAGTGATATAGAAACTTGTAAGTACGAGTTAATAAACCAATTTATAATCATAGGTAATAAGGTAAAAAAGATGTGAATAAGGCGAAATACATAGCCAGAAATGTATGTAAATATGTATGTACATCATTCGGTTTTAGCTTTTCCCGTAAAACATAAATTGTGTGTGTTAGACAGTCTTCTTGGTGCGCTCATCTCCGTTGGCACTTCTAGGTTAAAGATGCAGATTCTAGACAAAAAACTGTTTTAATCCCAAAACCGGCTGATCAAAACAACATACTTACATATGTATGTGTGTCTTATGTGCACCACGTGGCGTCTGGCTGCCGATTTACATAGTTTGCGCTCACTGGCTGCCGGCGCAACAGTTTCTTCGTCGTTAATAAGTAAATCAACAATTTAAATATATTTGAATAGCTGTAGCAATGGCATCCCCAATTGAAATGGAGACCGATGTAACTCCAAGCTCGGCCATCATGCCTCTCAACAGCGCCCCGAACGAAGTTTTGGCCGCAGAATCTCAGAATAAGTCCAGTGCCAGGGACGATTATTGTGGTCCCTTCTGCTTTGAAATTGATGCTCACGAGGATCTGCTGAAGGACAAAGTTCGCACGGAAGCATACCAAGCCGCTATATATCAAAATAGGCATCTGTTTGAAGGCAAGGTAGGAGGGGCTTGTTTTTGCTAAATCATTTGATGATATTGCGCTCATCAAGCGTTTTATTTATTCTCAGATTGTGTTAGATATTGGCTGTGGCACCGGCATACTGTCAATGTTTGCTGCAGAGGCCGGTGCGGCAAAAGTAATTGCCGTGGACATGGCCAAAATGGTTCACATGACAAAACAAATTGTAGAAAATAACAATTTTCAGGATATAATAACGGTCATTAAAGGAAAAATCGAGAATATTGAACTGCCCGCTGGCATTCAAAGTGTAGACATAATAGTGTCCGAATGGATGGGGTATGCTGTAATTGAATATTTGCATGTATCTAAAATATTGAGAGTAATTTTTGGTCGCAGGTTCGGCCTTTTTCACGAGTCGTCCGTGCTTGCCTCTGTGCTGTATGCACGAGACAAGTGGCTAAAGCCCAACGGAATCATTTTCCCAGACAGATGCACGCTCTATATTGCTGCAATCGAGGAACGCACTTCCAAGGAAAGTAGGATCGACTTCTGGGAAAATGTTTACGGCTTCACAATGAGCTGCATGCGCAAATTTGCACTGAAAGAGCCGGACTTTGATTGTGTTGACCCCAAGCAAGTGGTGTCCACCGACTGCTTGATCAAAGAAGTAGACCTGTACACGGCGCAGAAGGCCGATCTCATCTTTTCGGCCAAGTTCAATCTAAGCATCAACCGAAATGACTATGTGCATGCGCTAATTACGTACTTCAATGTCGAATTTACCAAGTGCCGGCAGCGCGTTGGCTTCAGCACATCGCCCTTTTCGCCCTGCACTCATTGGGCGCAAACGGTTTTGTATTTAGATCATGAAATCATTGCTAAAAAAGGTGATACGCTGACGGGAACTCTTCAAATGAAACCCAACGCGCGCATCAAGCGAGACATTGACTTGGCTATAGAAATCAATTTCAAGGGTGAAATTACCGAAGTTGACGAAGTGAACACCTACCACATGCGTCACATCTAAACGTTAATTCCATCCAGCCTACAAAAATCTGGAAAAAAAACCATTTTATATATTAACTTATCCTTTTTTGTAGCTCAACGAAATGACATCAATATCAGGTTAAACTCTTGGGCTAAATTTAAATGCCAGATGCAATTCTTGTTTGTTGTTAAAACACAGTATCAAGTTTAGTTTTAACTTTTCATATGTTTATATGTTCCTCAATTAAAGCGTAATACTGAGACAGGCTGAATCGTTTATTATTGCGATAGCGACAGAGTGTGACCAGGCAGAGCGCAACTAGTATGGTTACACTGCACAGTCAGCTGTGTTTTGTTTACAGATTCATTCCCATTTAAAGTTCACAGAGCTAGGACACAGGACCATTTGTTAATCGTAAAAAGCGAGGAAGTGGCGGCTTTTGTTGTTGGACCTGGAGCAGGATGATGCACGAAGAGGAGTCCATCCATGGTAGTCCATTTCTCTGCCACAGGGAATAAGTATACAGAGGACGAGCACGATTTAATGCCATCAATTTGCATTTATAGGCAATAACCAAAGGCAAAGGTTTAACAAAATTGCACAAAAACTTGAAGCTGGAAGCTGTGAAGATCAGAGTGCAAGCGTGCAGGCGGGAGTGGTATGAGCTGACTGGACCGACTGAGATTCTGGACACAGCTGCATATTATCCGTGAGTTTTTTTGTAATTATTTAATATTTAAATCAGGTCACTTACGAACATTACACGAATAATTAGAAGGCCCATTAATTAATTACTATTGTTGATGTTTTCGCTGGGTCTAAATTTGTATACCAGCCCTATCTCTGCCCTATCTTCCCCCTTCCCCTGCCGTTGTGCATCACCAACATTTTATTTTAGTTTTCCCACTTTTCCTTCCCTCTCAAAACAATATTTAGGTGGAAGCTCAAAAGCATCACAATAACAATAACAATAACAAAAACAACAATTAACAATTGACTAATTAAAAGCGAAGCGGCAGGCAGATATGCAGAAGGGCGAGGGGTGAGAGTGGGTGGCAGTAATTGCAAATTACGGACGAGCTTTTTCCTGGCGACGCGCACTTGCCAGCCGCGACAGGTACGAACCAGCAAACAATGTGGTAGCATCGTTTCATGTTGGGGGCATGGAGGAAGAAATTTGTCTGTGAACCGCAACAGTGAAGCCAGCGAACAATTTTAGCATAATTTGAAATGCGAACGAGATGAACCCGGGCCGCTTCCTCCTTCTCACTTCTTTTCGCCGCGTAACTGCACTTGTACTTAATGTCTGTGTATGCCAGATAACTTTCAAACTAAACGGATAGAGAGACGGCCCTCACAGGGTTGGGATTTCCAGAAGGGGTACAGGAGAAATTTAAGAAAATTTAGAGCCCATAAATAACCTTTATGAGAGAACTGCAGAGCTGCCGAATAGATCGTGCAGAGACTGTTTGTTGGCTGTAGTTTCATGGATTTCTCATAGAAAGCGTTGGACTCCGAGATCCGAGGGCCTTTCCCTCACAACACAGTCGAGCTTTGTGCAAGGTGCCGGTGCCGGTGCCTGACATTTAATCGCACATTAATCATCTTGCCGTGGGGTCAAGAGGTCACCAAGCTGAAATGGAAATTCTCTTAAGAAATACCTCATTGATTGATTGATCCAATTCACTTGTCCAAATGGCCTCCTAATGCGATTCTGTCATTAATCAAGCTGCGACTGATACAGCCCCATCGAGTGCAACCCTGTCGCAGTCGCTCAACCCTGACCCAAGCCCACCCCACCCCACATCTCTCCGCCCAGAAACTGAACATGCATAGCGCAACTAAAAAGCGCTAAAGAGTACAAAGTTGAGTGTATCGTTGGGTGTCCTGTCCGGGCGCGTGTGAGTGCAGATTTGCACGCGGTCACGTTAAACGCTAGGAATTAAAAGACCCGAATGCACCCCTCCCCAGACTGAAACACCCCCCCACCCCGATGGAAAAACCACAAACCCGTTGCCCCCGCTTCCCCATCCCTCCGTCCAGGGCAATCGACTGACGTGACACCAAAAGGCTGAACCGTACTTAAGCTAACAACGCAACGACAATCAGCGAAGGCAACGTCAGTGGCAGCGGCAGCGGCAACTCCAGTCAAGTCCGTGGGTTTAAAACGCCTATTTTGAGGTGCACCCATAGCTCCTCGTGGAACGACACTGCACTGAGAGAAATCTGTGGGCGGAGGGGCCAAAATGTCCTTGAAGGAGGCGGATAAGCAGTGAGTGACTCGCTCATGGCAATTTGTCTCTATTCGGGTTGTTCGAAACGGTTCGGTTGTGGCCGTTTGCTTATGGGACATTTGCAAAGCAGATCGACGTCTGGGGGGAACGGGGAACTGTTTCCCTCCAAGGAACTTTTATTTTCTAAGCTTGCTTTTCTGTCTCAAGTTGCCTTAAATAATTTCCTTGAGTGTAGTCCCCGTGCTCAGCCCCCTCCTCGCCCCGTTAGCCCTTTGAACAATTATGAAGCTAGCATGCTAACATTATAATTGATTGCCTAAGCTTACCCCTGGGGATGGCATGAAGTCGGGGGGATTGGGATTGGGCTTGGGGTTTGGGGTTTGTAATTTGATTGCGCAATTTGCGCGCATTGTGTTGCATAGTTTTTGGCGCGCGAACTTGTCCCTTGCCAGGCCCCACCCCATTACCCCCCCAGTTGTCGAGGGCCTGGAGAAATGCTGAGCCGCACGAAACCGAAAACAGCCAACGAACATGACATGCATTTATGTCACGTCACATGTGCAACACGAACACCCATCACCCATCACACTCGCACCCATGCCACACCATTCTTTCATGTGTGTCTGTGTGTGTGTGTGTGTGTGTGTGTGCAACAATTTTAATTGGCGACATTCCGCAATTTTATGACTTTTAAAATTCTACATATATTTCATACCTACGTCCGTCCTGGTCGTGGCCTAGCCAACAGCCAACAGCCAACATGCAACGTTGCCACACTTCAATTGGCTTTTTTGAAGGACACCACACACACGCACACACAGGCACTAACACTCGTATGCACTCGTATAGGGAAGGACATGCCTGGCTGAGACTCATTCCTGTGGCTGCCTGGCCTGGCCGCTTTCTGGTCTACTTCCTTCATGTTCCTCCTGCTCCTGCTCCTGCTGCTGCTGCTGCTGTTGTGCTGTGCTGTGCTGTTGTTCTTGTTGTTGTAATTAGTGAGCTGCATTTCTTTGCCACTTTCGGCCATGGCAATTAAGCCAACTGTTTGTGTGGCGGTTAGGCAGGCGGAGAAGGGTGCCCTGAGTGGCTGTTAGAGCAGCCAGAGGAGCCGCACCACAAATGCAACAATTGAATGAACAAAAGCCAAGAGAATGAATCGAAGACCTGCTTTGGTGGCCGCACCTTTTCGCACCCTTGCTGATTGATATTTATCTTATTTTATTCATCAGCATTTGTGTCTCTGAGCCGTGCCATTCAATGATTGTTCAGCTGGCAGCTGGCCTTCTGCCGTTTGCAGTGCATTCCTCCATCGATTCGACTTTTCCTGCTGATGGAGAAAACTATTTTCTGCGCTGAGCTGCAAAGTGTGCATACCCTCTTCAAGTGTAGTATACCTCGTGCAAATAAAAGGCAAAAGAAAACCGAATGTGAAATTCTGTGGCTGCGAACGAGCAACTGAGGACTGAGCCCGAACACTTGCCCATGAGAGTGGTGAGGGGCCTGGTGGCTCACATTGTTAGTTGGGGCTAGTGGGGCAGCTCACATAGGCCAAGGGCAAGTGGGCTGGGCGTTCACGAATTCCGATTAGCGATAATGTTTTGAGGAAGGAACAGCTTGGTTTTATTTCCAAGCCATTACTATCACAATATTGGGCATTGGGTATTAATATTTGTAGAAATTATTTCCATCGGAGATATTTCCAAAGTAAAAACAAAATTAAACCCCACCGGTCAGCGATGACTGTGTGTTTACAGCTTACATTTGTTGGGTTGATTTTGTCCAGCAGCTTTCCTTCAGCTTGTCCCTTCTGTCAGCAGTTTATCGTCCTAAGCGGCTTCCCAGCGGGGCGTCTACATATATCTGTGCGGCATCTGCCACGGCCACGGCCACTGCATCCGCATCTGAATGGGTAGCGGTGAGTGGGGAGTGGAGGAGAGTGGGGAGCGGGGATCACTCACTTTCGGTTAGGGTTAACCTTTCCGAAGACTGACAATGAGCGATCAGCAGCTGCGCTGCCTGGGCTCCAACTTCAACACCTTGCCCACTTTTATGGCCCCATCATCAGGTCTCTGGCCCAGCCCTTCTGATGAGCTCACAATGTTGCCGCTGGTCCGTCCGGCTGCTGCTGCCGTTTTTTTATGGGATGCAGCGCCGCGGTGCAGGCGCATTTTGCATTTCACTTTAATTCGAAACGACTTAATTTCTTTCTGCTGGCTGTTGGCTGGCTGACTGTTGACTGTTGGCGAGTGGGAACTGGAACCCAAAGGCGATGCCCCAACCTCCCTTCCTCCCGCCGTTGGTGCGAGAAATGCTTATAAATGCTCAATGCGCGTAGCCGATTAATTGCACATAAAAATTAACAACAATCAGCCAGGCAGCAACAATAACTATCGAACGGTCCTCACAGAACATACCCACAAAAAAAACAAATAAAAAACCACTAGGGACGGCATCGTGAGCTGCAATTATTGGCGGGGGGTGGGGAAGAGAGTTTCAGGAATTATGAATTGAAACCTGAAGGGAAAATACGTGAGACTCGGGAAAGGATTTAAAGGGGCGCTAAGAATGTAAAGATAGAATGTTTGGATAGAATCAAAGTCCCCTTAAAGTGGTACGTGGATATCTCTAGGAGGTGGAGGAGAGGGATGATTCCTAGGAGCGCTGGCTTTTAGCACAATAAATAATCCAGGCAGCGTCGAAGTCTGGAATTTAGATCAATGCCATTGCCAAGTGGTTGTGGCACACCAAGCAAGCATCCAGCATGTCCTGCGTATCACTTTTGGAGGGCTACGAAAAGGGATTCATTAGATATAACTATGGTACGAATTACCTTTGAGGTTTCAGACCTTTTGGTCTACAGACAGGCAGCAGAATGGGGAGGGATGTGTACCTATGGATGTGTGAGCTGATGGAGGATATCGAAGGTAACCGATCACGCTGCCATCCCTAATTGTGGCTAGCATCACACCTTTGGCATCGTTATCGCTGTCCCACACACACACACACACACACCTCTCGGTCAT